CAGGGAGTTCCCACTCTAAAGGATCGTTTCTTACTGTAATCTCCTTTCAATGTTTAACTTTTCAAATGTAACCAAAACACATCTTCATTGCCAAGAATTCTCCTCTGAGAGACTTCTGGGTTCAGGCAAAGCACTGGCTTTTGACCCCAAAGTCCTCGCTGTGCTCTGGGACCACGCCACCAAGCAGGGTTTAATCATTTAAAAGCTGGGTCACAGATCCACAGCCCCACTGCACCGACCGGATAAAATCTGAGGAGGTGGGAACACAAGCCAGGCCACGTGGGCCGTGACACAGAAAAAATAGGCTGTTCCCACCTGAGGCCACCACACCTCCAACTCACTCCCCTCACCTCTGTGGCACGAAAATGAGTCTCTTCTCTTCAGGATTTTGTTTTCAGTATGAATGAAGAAACACACACCCTGCCTTACATGTGAGCCACATAACACCTGTGTCTGGTCCACTGGGATTCAGAAGCAGAGTGCAAACCTGGCCCTGACCCCATGCAGGTCCAAAGGACCCTAGACAGGTTCAGCCATGTCTCATTCATGCCTCAAAGCAGCAAGAAATGTAAACTGTTCAAGGCCTCAAGGCAATGTGCCTGTCAGACAGAAGAGCAGGAGTGAAGTTCTGTGCTCCTTGAGCACGGCCAGTCTGGCTACACCTGGAGCAGCTCACGGACCCAGGTGCACAGATTTAATGATGCTGGCTCTGACATCATCATGGGGGCACTGCCCCACAGCTGCTGCCAAGCTAGGGCGCTCTTCGCCCCACCTTCTACAGGGCAGGTTCTGTGACCCTGGACCAGGTCCACTTCCAGGGCTGGAGGAGGCTTCCTGGGGTGGCACCTGCTGAGCACGACAGGCCTCCCTGAGCAGTTCACAAGGCAGCAGAAAGCTGGCCCTCAATCAGCTGCTGGCCACCAACAGGGCCCAAGGCAGTCCCAGCGGGAGGATGTGTTCAGTGTCCTTGGGGAATTGAAAGGTCCCCAAAGGACGTCAGGCCAAGAACTCACGGAGAGCTGTAGCCAACAGATCTCAGTCTCAGGCACCACAGTGGGGACTCCGACAGCCCTCAGCCTTTATTGGCCCCTGGGGCACTGAGTTCTCCAGGAGGTGACACCCACAGTGGAGATCAGGACAGCCCCAGCCCTCACTGTGACCACCATCTCCCTACTGTCCTCCTGTCCCACCACCCCAAGCAGCCCTTCTACTCTACCTCAGCCTGTCTGCTGGGCCCCCCATCCCATCTGTCCTCCATTCAGTTCGAAGCACCATGTCCAGCACAGTAGAGAGCTGGACAAAACCTGTACTCTTGTTGACCTTCATAAGGCCACGAGAACCACCCTTTCTCCACGCCACAGAGAGGGTACATCTTGCTGGGGAGAAGGCCAGGCCAGGGGCACAGGACACAGCACTCTGGGCAGGTGGCCACCTCGCCCATGCCTAAGCTCACTACCCTGCTGCACCCCTGCCACCCACAGTCTAAGATAGGAAGTGAACTGCCGGGACCCAGCTCCCCAAGTCCCCCTTGTCCCCAGAACTCTGGTCATGGGGTGGCATCGGGAGAGGGGTAAGCTTAGGTGATTACCAGAAGAATGATTTTGTAAAAGTTGTGTCTTAATTTGGAGACAGAATCTGTGGTGACAGCAAGGGGATCCAGGGGAGGGGGAGATGGGAGGAAGGGGAAACGGAAAGGGAGAAGGACCCAGAGGAGCATATCCACTAGTTATTGCAAACATACACTCATAAAAATTTAAACAAAGAGAACTAACCAAATATGTCCTTCCATATACAATGACATAAAATTCCAAGTTCTTCCAACTGGGCAGCGGCACAGGAAGCACGTGAGGAGGGTGGGTAAAGGCGGGGCAGGGCCACATTCCATACCCAGCCTTCCACAGGTACGTCCCTGCTGCCTTGAAACATTTTTCATTTTTCTACACAGGCCTCAGTATCGTTACAAACTGTGTAAGTGCTATAAAGAGAAAGAACACAATACCTTCGATTACAGAGAGGGCAAGGCCTGAGGGAGAAACAGGAAGTAGCCATTTGCTGGATAAGGGCTAGGGAAGGCCTCTTGCAAAGGGAAGGGTGTTATGTGGCTTGTGGGCAGGTGAGGAGGAAGGTGGTCTGGCCTGGGTCCTCCAGATCAGGGTGGCCAGGATGTGAACCCAGGGGCCAGGGCCTGAGACCAAGGCAGGGAGTTAGAAGGCTGTCAAGTAGAGGAGCACTGAGGATGGGCAGGAGAAGTATCAGGTTCCACTGCTTGCTGTGGGTGGAGGACTTCCTATACGTGGTCAGCTTCCTAGGAAGCTCCTGCACGAGCAGAGGCCTGGCCCGGCAGGGCTGGGGCAGCACAGGAGATATGGGGTTGGTGTCAAGGATTAGCCCAGCACCTCACAAGCTCGCACTGCACATACAGGGGTTGCTGATCCCCTGCTCTGAGGCTCAGGGGAACGAGACCTGGCTCTGTGTCCATGGAGCTTAGGCGTGGGGTGAACCCATCCGTTGAAAACCTAAGTGGCAGTGAGTGCTATGCTGAAAATACATGTATAATAGTGACTGGAGACTATTAGGGGTTAGGATGGACCACTAGGCAGAGGTGACAAATTTGATGAGATTCGGGCCCTTACACAGAGGCTCATCAACACCCAGTAACATTATTACTACTAACAATCAGCAGCGGGCAAAGAATGCAGCAGAGCAGTTTAAACATCGCGTGTGCTTCTCTCGATAGCGCTCTAGGGGGACTGACTGCAGCAGCCCACTTCACAGACAGGCGAGTCCCACAACCCCACACCCCCAACATCTGCCAACCAGCCTGCTGCCTCCTCTAAGAGCCACCTGGATCTCAAGGCCAACAGGGGCTTCCCCAGCACACATAGGACACTGGGAGCACATGGAGGGCTCACTGTCACCTCTTCTCACCTGTGACCTGAGGCCAGTAACACATGGCCGGCAGAAGCCCTGGGGGCTGAACCTGGCTGCAGGAGCCTCCTGACGGAGACCATGAGGATGGACGGATGCAGGGTACACTGGTCTGTCCTCTTTCCCTGACTTTTGCTCTTGAGGCTGTGGAGCATCTGCTGCAGTATGTCAGGACAGCAGGTGCATGTGATAAACGCTGAAGCAAGAACTGCTTCCCAGGGAAGTTGTCCCACACAGGACCCTGCCCTCCCCCAGGCCACCACACCTGCCTGGCAACTTCACACAGGGGACCACCCTCAGTGACATGTGCACATGGTGCACTAAAACAGCATGCTGTGGCTCCTGGGGAGTTCCCCAGGCACACACCACTCAGCAGGCACAGAAAATGTCCAGGCACAGAGAGCATGAGGAAGATGTATGGAAGGAAGAGGAAAAGGTTCCTGCTTTGGTGCTCCACCAGCACTAACAATGCTCCACTGAAGACAATGGGGCCAAACCACCAAAGGTGACTAGGACTTGACAAAGTGTGAGGTCTGGTTTATTGGCTCCCGCAGAGCAGGAACTGCCATGATTCTGGGCAAACATTATCTCCAAGACTCACACTACACTAAAGGCTGCATTACTCCCCTAACTTATCTCACCAGGAAACAACCTCCTGACATTTTAAGCCAGTGGTTTACCAATGATTTTTAATGTACAAGGAACTTTCCTTCCACACTTCCTTCAATGCTTCTAAGTGCATATATAAATATATAAGCAGACACTGTTTGAGGCCCAGAACAGTGACCTCCTTCAGAAACTGCCTCAGTCTCCAGATCAAGGCAGGGCCCTACTACTGTGTGCACCGAGTACCCATGGGCCACCTGCATCGGCACTGGCCACTCTGCCCAGGCTTCGGTGGCAGCCAGCTCCTCTGAAAGGTACAGGAAGAAACTGAACATTATCCAGAGAGCAGCGGCCTCCATGTTGGTTCCAATGTGCGGCATTCCTGGTGGCAGGCTGTTCTGGGAAGGGCAGATGTAAATGGATGGGGACACAGGCCCACACACACACACACACACACACCCCAGATCTGGAGGGAGTGGTCTGGGAGACGACGGTGGAGCCGGGAGCCCAGGACCATGCTGTAAATGACCTGCAAAGTCATCCACTACAGATTGGTCTTTCGATCCAAAACTAAGATTACATGTATGCTTAAGAACAGGTCAGTAAATGTCTTGTGGGATTTGCGAGATTCTTTTACTTTAAAAAATTAAGGTGCTCTTAGTGAAATATCTGCGTAGTTAGTAAATTAAAATGGTGCGTACAGTAGCTGTTTATCTCAGGACATCGAAGAGGACTGAGATAGTAGACAGGTCTGTCCACTGTTCCAGTCTTCCTGTGAGGATCTGTGTCCTGTCTGGCTATATGACAGAGACATGGGGGTGGAGAGAGGTCCACACCTGTAAGGAGTCTGCAGGGCTGGGGGTAGGCTGCAGGAGGAAGTGCCCAGGAGGCTGCCAGTGCTCCCCCAGGCCCAGCTGTGCGAGGTCAGCTGTGTCCCTCTCAGCCAACAGACCCCTTGGTCCTCACGCCTCATATTCCTGCCAAGGCCTCAGCCCTGGTGTCTGGAGGCCGCGCTTTCACCTGAGACCTGCGGTAAGCAGGAGGGTGGCAACATCCTAAGGGAGATGGCACAGAAAGAAGAGCCTGGTACTGGACAACTTCTGTGAGAACACAGCACAGGACCACTGGCCTCCAGACACCGTATAACCATAGAGATGATGTCTATGTCACCACAGCTGGCTCTGTGTCAAACACATTCCCAACTGTGGTGACAGACTCCCTGGTGACAGAGATTTCTCCTGTCACAAAGTACATGACTTCTTAGAAGAAAAGGAGTTTTCCCTGCAAGTCACTTCTCTTGATTCACTAGGAAAACATAAATGTCCCCCACCTCAGGTGGCCCCAGGGCAGACTACAGACCTGACCAAGAACCCTGCGTCTTTGGAAGACAGGAGTGGAACCCCATTCACAGTGTAAGGCGACAAAGACTCCCAGGTACCAACATGACAGCCGCCTGGTAACTCTACCTTAGAAATGTTGCTTGAATGACTCATGGAATGTCCCAAAGTCTTCTCATTCTGCAAGAAAGCCAAAAACAGGTGTTAAGTATGGAGCTTTAACTAAGATGTGGAATGAACAAGTACCTGACCACAAAGACCCCACAGACCAATCATGCTGTAACTATAGACTGTGCCTAGCACAAACCACCCTGCTGACACTGGAAAAAAAGCAATAAAGAGCCCCTCCCCTGAAGAACTCAACAGGACGAGAACAGGGGTTTGGAGCTAGCTGCAAAGCAAGGCAGTGGCAGCTGTTGTGATGCAAACTCAGGTGAGAATCACTGCAGGGCGGGGAACAGTGTGGGACACATGGGGCCGGTGCTGGACGCTCAGCGCGACATCACATTGCTTTCACCTCTCCCCTCCTCCCGGGCCCAGAAATCTGGGAGTCACTGCGCCCTCTCACACTCTCCACCCCATCACAGATCCCATCCCACTTCCCTCCTCTTTTGCTTTTACCATCAATGTCCTAGTCAGGCTTCTCCTCATTTCTCACCTGGAACTCTGAGTAACTTGCACCCCGCTCTTTCTACTGTCGGCGGACCTCCTGTTGCCTGCTAACCTGCAACCTCTCTTCACAGACTGACGCCCGGGCCCCAGTGCCTCAGAATGTGACTGAGACAGTAACATGGAGATGGGCTCCTTGCAGAGGTGATCACTGGGGGACCCCAATGCAGGTCAGCCGGTGTCCTTGCAGGATGCAGACACGCACAGAGGAAAGGCCGTATGAAGATACAGGGAGAAAACAGCTTCAGAGAGACTACCTTCACTGGGGAGTTCTTGGTGTGAATGCTCAATATTCCTACAATTCTGTGGAGAAACCAGCTCTCACGTAGTCTAGCGCTGGCACTACTACTGTAGTAACGAATGTCTTCTTTGTCTTTACAAAAATGTGTTGGTGCAACTAAAAAGTTTTAGCTTTATTATATTTTTAAATTGTATTTTATCTTATTTATTATATTCTTTCCTTATTTTATAAATCTGAATAGGAAGAGAGGTGCAGGTCTCTGCAAGTGTCTTAACACAGACCTTCTGTTAAGTGTTTGGCCCCAAAATCAGGTCTGTTGGTCTCAAGCCAGCCAAACAGGTACAGAGGGAAGAATACAACTCTAAAGTGCCTCAGGGTGCCAAGAGAGCGTCACCAAAGACCACAGACCACTCACCCTGCCACCCACACCCCCTCCCCGGGGTAGAGAGGCTCTGTCCACAGCACAGGTAAACTGGGCACCACTCAAGGCTCACTCGTGAGTTGAGAATGTGTTACAGATGAACAAAGGACACTGGCCAGATTTTAGCTGCATCTACTAAACTAAAGCAAGGACACCAGTAGCCTCAAGTTATCAGTACAGAAAATGAAATTCGATGCCTCATCAGAGACCCTCCTGACATCTACCAGCCTACTAGCAACAGATGTGGGGCAGGGAGAGGCCTCACTACTGAGCTACATAACATTACAAATCCAGATTGAGAGCAGAAGTTGCTCTTTACCCACATGAACTTCAGAAATAAACGTGAGGATGCAAACTTTTATTCTGCTTTTTTCATTAGAAAAAAATCTGCTGGTAACATTAAAAGAAGTACCCAGCCCCAGAAGACACAGATGTTCTACAGCTGGAACCCTGCCCACATTTAGGGCTACTTCTCCGCTCTTAGGCACACCCAATACACGATCCTCTCGCCACTGCATCAACACTGCTATTTGTAGGGAACAGGGGAAGGGGACGTTACCAGAACCTCTGCAGTGAGTCCTGGTCTCCTGCGAGCCACGGCAGCACACGGCGAATTACAGGAAAGGTAGAAAAATGAGACTGAGGAGAAGCTGAGCTTTGGGTCTGATCAGTGCTGCTCTGGGCAGCAAAGACAAAAGCCCCTAGCTTACCACACCTTTTGTTCAGTACATTGGGAGAAACAAATGTAGCAAATGACTTGCAGAGAGTTCAATAGTTCACATTGGGATAAACAAGGTGTAACAAAAGGCTTGCAGAGTTCAGTACATCTCGGGTAAACAAGATGTTAACAGTCCAAGAACAAGGAGGAACTGGGCAGATGTTTGTTCTCCCAGGATGTTTTCAGCTCCCAGGATGTTTCTTGTCCTGGAGAATCACAGCATCACTGGATCACTGAAGTCTCAGTTGTGACCGGAGGCCAAACTGGAGTTATTCTGTAGCTGGGCTGTAGGCAAGAGAACTAGGCTAACCAAATGATTTTTCCCTAGAATTATGTAGCATTGCTCCCAACAGCTATTGAATCTTCCTTTACTAGGAATCAACTGAAGAATCTAAGACGTTCAGGGCCACAACAGAGCTGTTCAGAAAGCAAATGTCAGACTTCATTCCAGTCAGTCATTTGCTCCCCATGTATTTACCATGCAACTACTCCGTGCAAATGCTCATGTCGAGCACAAAATATGACAATACCCAGTCTGCTCCCTGGCAACAGGCCCAGTGGTGGCCAAACAGCACTGCGCTGAAGCGGGTGTGGAGGAAGAAGGCACTCTCCTGTGGTCAGAACGGCTTACTTCTGATACAAAGAAGGAAAGTCTGCCCAATATATGGCAAGAACTGGAATCAGGCTCCCAAAGAGAAGAGTTCAGGTCTAAACTAAGCTTCAATGCCCAAACCCTAAAACCCTCTGCCAATTACTTCTATAAGCTCTTTCTTTAACACATTCATTTGCTGACTGGGGGAGGCACTCCCTGCTGTGTCATCCTCCATAGGAGGCACCAGGAGAGCCCCACTTCCCTGCTGCTTCTGAGCCCACATCTCTTTGGCAGCAAACATGAGAGCTCCCAGAATACAGCCCTGTGCATCCACTTCTCCCCGCTGTCTCCCTCAGGCTCATGTTTGCCCCACTCGTGCACATACTCACTCAGGCTCCTACTAAAATAGAGCCTGAGGGCCGTGGATTTAGCTCAGTGGTTTCCCCCCCTGCTGCGCAAGCGCAAGGACCGGAGCTTGATCCCCAGGACCAATCAATCAATCAATCAATCAACAAAATAGAGCCTGAGATACATCAGGTCTGGGGAGCACGGAGACTCTGACAGAACACGCTCCAGCCCCAGGGCCCCTTCAGAATAATCCAGAAGGGCTAGGACTCATTTTTTTCAAAATGATTGTGACTACTGTTAAAGTAAACTTCCAAGTAATGCTCACGAGTGAGCTAATACAATAAATCCATCAATCAGGAAGCAGATACACAGACTGGGAAAAATCAGTCAGAGGGTGAGAAACAGAGTTGTGCTAATGTAAGAAGTTACCAAATCACTTCAAAGAGAAAGAGAAGCTCCATGGGAGGGTGTGGGTGTTGCACAATGTGATCAATCCCACAACATTTTGCAAGTTCACACCTGGCTCCAACAGAACCTTGAGAGTAGAACCAGACACAGAACCCTGCATGGAACACAGACACCTCAAGCACGCCACAGAGCCGAGCCAAGAATGATAGAGGAGACAACACCGAAGCAAGCGCAGAAAGCCTGGTAAGAGTCACAGGACGGAACGTCACTCAGTGTCTCTGCCAGCAGCAGTCATTAAAACCAAGAAGCAAGCAAAGCAAACTCCACGGGCAATCAACATGACTACCTACCTCCCATACCCACCTCCCTTCCCACCAGCAGAACCCATTCTACCTTCTCGCTTTCCCACACTAATGGCAGGTGGGGGCTCGGGATTTAGCTCAGTGGTTTCGCCGCCTGCTGCGTAAGCGCAACGACATGAGTTCGATCCCCAGTACCAAAAGGACAAAACAAAACTAATAGCAGGTGAGGGGAACTATGTGAGAATATTCTTCCTAGAGAAATTAACTAGAGCCTTTCCAGGAAAACACTGTAGTTCCTCATACAGCACCATCCATTCATCTGGAATCGCTCCTCCCTCATCCAGCCTGGAGCTCAGCTGTGATGCCAGGAGGTGTGACAGGGACTTTGGAACCCTAGAAGGAATGTACATAGAAGTCTCCAACATTTTGGTCTCAGGGCCCCTCTATACCATAAAATCTTAAGGATCCTGCAACTCTTTGTTTAGGTTGTATTTATTGATACATGCCACATTAGAAGTTAAAACAGACAATTTCTTCAAGTGGGTTATCTCTTAGTTCACTCAGCATTAAAAATAATAAACTCAGTTAATATAAATAACACTGAAAAATATTTTCCCAAAGAAAACATTCTGAGGAAGCAGAGTGGCTCTATTTTATATTTTTGTAAATCTCCTTATCACCTAACAGAAAACAGCTGGACTCTCCTATCTGCCTGTGTACTTACTCTGCTGATCTGCTGCTTTTGTGGGGACCCATTCAGAACCGCAGAGATGAAATGAAGATTGTTTGAAACAGAAGACATTTGAGATTCTATAGATTAAAAAACTTTCTCCATGTTCCCTTATCCAACCAAAGGGAGAAGTTTCAGGCAAATGAAGATGCCATTAATTCCCTCTTCAAGGATTTACTAGTGTTACAGTTTGACTTAAAATGACCCCAAAAGGCTCTTGTGTTCCAAGGGGAGGCCTCTGAAAGCTGGGATTCACCCACTGACCAGTCACGGGTGAAGGTGCTACCGGGAGGTGGGGTTAGGTTAGGGGAGGTAGGTAGGTCACAGGGCATGACCCCGAAGATGGGTGCTTCTCCCTGGCCCCTTGCCGTCCCTGTCCCTGTCTGTCTGTCTGTCTGTCTCTCTCTCTCTTTTCCACCTGTCATGAGGTGAGTTTTTCTCTGCCAGGCCCCTCTGCCATGTTTCTGCCCTGGGGCCAGCTTACCACAGACTGAACCCTCAGACACCATGAGGCAAAATAAACTTTTCTCTTTTAAATTGTATATGTAAGGTATATAGTCCCATCAATGGAAAAGAAATACAGAAACACTGAATTTTATCCTTAACAACAAAAATTGTTACTTCCTCTTCTTGAGAACACCTGTCCGTATCAGAACAACTATAGTTTGACTGCCAGTCACTCTTTCAAGTAAAAATTGTATTCTATTTTTCAGAAAGTGGCTAGTTCAGCTATTATTCAGTCATCAAGGGC